ATATAATTTTTATATATATATTGATTGTCAAAATAGCATCATGATAGATTTATGGAATAAAATAATAAATTTGGATTGATGAAATTTTTATGTGATATACCCTGTTGCCAATAGTCTTCAATAGTCTCGCATGTTATTATATTAATAAAAATGTCGATGTTGGTATAAAAAAAATTATGTAAAAGAATATTTTTTAAAAGAATAATATAGAGTAAAATATAATACTAGAAGGATCTCATTTGCGAGTGAAATAATTGCGATCAAAAGTGCGAAATTAACCAGCCTCGTTAAGTTTCTGTATGTGATTAGAGTTCTTATACCCTGCAAAGGTACGTCAAGAAGAGAAGCAGTAGCAACAGCGCGACACACAACATATTCGTCGCGGGGATGCGTTCTTCTCCTTTTGCACGATAATAGTAATATTGTAATAATGAAACTCCGTACACGCGAGCAAAATAATTGCACATATGTACGAGGTCTTAATTGTAATATAGCCTTCTCTCTTTCATATACACTAGGCACTTTTAAGCTCAACTAGATACTTTAAATACTTTAATTAATCGGAGTGTAAAATCTTTATAAAAATAAAATAAATAATCTGAATAAATATGGATATACTAATATTATATATAATGTTTCTACATATAATGTGATTATATTATATGTAAACATATATATAAGTTGTCAATAAATTATTATATAAGATTGTAGAGAGTATGAATCGCTCGCGAAGAGAGTCCTTTTAACTGTGTTGTGTGCATAATGTAATACATACACGCGCATCTAATTACGAGAGATCTAAATTACTGCGAGGTCCAAAATATTGTGTTCCATTATGAACCTACAGCAAGATTAAATTCTTCCCTATTAACTATCTTCTTTCTCAGTTAATCAGTAATCTCTTAATCACTTTTCATTTTACACTGAGCATAGAACGTGTAATGTTAAGTATTATAAATGTTCAAACTACTACGACAAGCAAAATACGATGTGAATAATCATTACTTAAAAAATCAATTTAAATTTTTCGTAAAATTTACCTGTGACTTTCATTAATTATTCCAATCTTGTGTGTATTTTTATACTTTATGTAACAATCACTTATAGCAGTAGTGATTGTCACAAATCTTATTCATATTGAGGAATATTATTTAAAAATTTGAGTCTTTACGGAAAATCAAGCCAATTAAATCGTGGCCATGTTCAATGTTAATAACGTATCGAAAGAAGAAATATCGAGCAAAAAGGATATCACGTTCTTAGATTGTAAGATAACCGTGATATGTAATAATTATCTCGAGAGTTATTTTACGTTCAATGTTAAACGATTGAGCCATTGAACTTACACAAAGAGAGATAATCCTACTTCCTTTCTCATATATAGAATCAAATACGCACGCGCATTTGTAGAGCATCTTCGCGCGAAATCGTAGTTTGTGTGAATATGCACGATTATGTGTATGTGGCCGTGAACTGCAACGGCGAAAGTCAATGGACGCCAATAACGACGCAGTTTTTTTCTTTGTTTCCTTTTTTTCTCCATTCTATCTTGTTCCGTACGAAGTACTATTAAAGAGTGTCGAAGAGGATGGTAATTGAAGTATCGGGAGCATTGATGGCACTTCTATTTCAAAGTTATCATAGAAGCTCAATGTAGATACTGTGATGCGGTGTATCAGTCGGTTCGACAATATTGGTTCTCATCGTCGATACCAACAAATAGCCCGATTCTTGTTGCAGAGACACTTTTCGTTAAAATTGCGCTCTTTAAATGATAATTAGAAGATAATCGGAAGATCCTTCTATCCTCTTCCCTCTATACCTCTTCAGGAAAATGGAGCCATCAGTAACCACGTTAATTTTGTAAGATAAGAGCGTCGTTTGGCGTAGCCCTTCTTCGGCTTTTTACGGATCTTCATAATTGTAACAGATTATAGACGTAGGCGTAGATGTGAAAATACTTGTATCACGTATTCGAGACCATTCATGTATTCGCGGAAAATCAGCCAGTCACGCAGATCACGGGACGTCATGTCTGTCATCTTTCGGAAATCAGATGGCATAACATCTCGAGTGACGTCCGGCCGTCGCGTTACACTACGTTCTTCTATAGCAACTTGGATCTCACACAGAACCTAAGAAAAGAGAAGTATCAGGATATTAAAAACGCTTGTAATTGGAAAATATATTATGATAAAAGTTTTTAATAAAAATTAACGGCATTATAAAGCATTTTGCAATTTTTAACATCTATATAAAGTTACTCTAATTTTATATGCATATAAATGAAATTACTAATTTAAAATTAATTGCCACAAAAGTAACATGTCTTATACTTAAATACGAGGATCAAGATAAATGTTGTTAATGATTTTCAATAGGCGATGACTGATTTCTGCAATCTTTCAAAATCTGTTTTTGAAGTCGATGTACATAAAAAAAAAAAAAAAAAAAAAAAAAAAAAACAAGAAACCCCAATAGGAATTTGAGCGCGTCCAAAGCTATTTGCCGGAATGGCCAATAAAATGGCAGTTAGCGACGATCTTTAACGTCTCAACCTTTACGTAAAATGATCGTAAAACTTGGCGAAACGTCTTTTATCGTACTTGCAGCAACAGAAGGCAGAATAATTCAGGCTAATTGCCGATCTTATTGTGAAAGTCGCGCATAGTAGTTATTTTTTTTATACCGCACGCTGAGAAAGAGTTACAAATCGAATACTCATGGCTCAACATAATTATTTAGGAAGATAAAGGACTTAAGATAATCCCGAAACTAAACTTACCGCTCGAAGTTTCCATTCGGCTTCTGTGAATTTCTGATGATACTTAGGCTGATAATCCTTTTGATCCAAAACTACCTGCTCTAAGCCCACCGCATATTTCTGCAAATATTCATACGCATCGACGAGAGACGTGTTAATCTGGAAATATATAAATCCGAACATACTGTTAATCATCCATTTATAGGTGTGTAATATTCATGCATGTGTACGTGTCGTGAAAAAATATACGTATTTTAAAGAAAAAGAATATATATGTTAGAAATATGTGCATGTGTGAATATATATATGTATATACAACAGTTAGTCAGTAAGTAACTTTAATTTTACCTTTAACAATCAAGGTTGCAAAAATTAAGGTACTTATTGACTCACCCATGTAGATATATTTCTAATAAATTATTGTATTGTAATAAATTGTGAACAATAACTACGCAGACAGATAAAACGACAGATAAATTAATTGATAACGTACATCCAATTTGTTAAGATGTTCCGTATCCAGTTCCTCTCCCAGTTCTTTGGGTATTTCAGATCGTGTAGGCAGCCAAGCGTAATGATATTTCCTCCACAGATTGTGGACGCTGACGAAGTCCGTCTTGAAAGTTTGTCTGATCTGTAAAATCATAGAAGAAAAACATGAGCAGGATTAGATACATCGTTTCTCTCAAAAAAGGAGCCGCAACATCGAAGAAAAATATGCGGAACTATCAAGTTTCCTCGTCGTCTTCTTAGTGCATGTAATCTCGCGGAAATTTGAGAAAAATTATTCCGCGTGGGTGTCGCGTTATTGCTATATCGTTCTGCATATCTCTCATATTCGTTGCGTACGGGAATAGATTAAGGTGTATATGTATATAAAACAATACGTGACATGCATGTGCAAAAGCATGTCGCTGTCTATTCTATTTTCTGAAAAAAGGGGGTATAATCATGCTTTAATTTAATAGCACGATATTAAATAATAAATAAGAAATTTTAATTAATGATATTTTTTGTAACCATATATGTTTTGATACGATATTGTACACACTTTTTTGTTGAAAAATGTTCTTTAAAAAATATTAGTACAATTTAGCGAGAACGCAATGCGTACACAGCCGTTTGGCGCTTTTATATCTTGACAGCAGTGTATCTCACTGCCACTTTATATTGTCACTTCGCGAAAGGATCACGGACTAGTGCACCGCGTTGCTCTTATTGTATTTCCAGGTATCCGCCAATTGTGCCAGCGGTATTGCCAGCGTAAGTACCGACTCGCTCGCGTTAATTTCTCGTAATAGTGCAGCGAAACGACGCCACTGGATGTCAGCGAGTTTAGTCACCGATTATACGCCGTGCAACACCTCGTATACGATCAGTCTCCCGATATCCCTCGTTCCTGGTACGATGAAAACGCAGTCGGCGTTGCCGTGCGAACTGCTGCGTGAGTAACGCACAACAGTTCGTGCCGGCTCTCTATGCGGCAGAGCGCGTGCCACGAGCAGCAGCCATGGCACGCTGACTTTTCGGGAATACCGAGATGGGTCAGCTAACAAAAGCCAGCTTAGTCCTTTACCCAGAAATTACTTGGAAACTCGGGCGCCAGCCGAGACACACTAATTGTCCCATCAGGGATCGCTTACATCGGACGAGTCATTATGAATCATCCGTTGAGCCGGGAAGCGCGAGAAATAGAGAGCGAGGGAAACATGCTACATAAACTTGCATAATATATTAGAAATTACTTTTCGCGTTTCATTTTCATATCATAATTTGATGTAGAAAATTATTCTATTGCACTTGACATCAGATTCTAAGGAGCTAATAAACCCTACTTGTTTACTGTTATCCTACTGTTACTCTATAAAATTACGATTTATTATATACTGTATGATAATTATATAATTTTTATAGTATCTTGTATTTATATTTCGTGATACACATGATATTTCAGTCCCATAAGCCTTCGAAGCCGTGGTATAAGGTCATCGGCCTCTTATTATGACAAACAATTGCGATATGATTTGAAGACTCAAATAACCGTTTCACGGAAATGAATTCCCGTGTTAACATTTTAAATTGACACATATTCTCTAGAATATTCTATCTAGAATTCTGCACATGTAATCCTATGTGCGGAAAGATGATTTGATCTCATTGATCTTATATCTTGGATTCCAGTGTAGATAACGCATTGTAACACTATTATCTCAAGTAGAAATGAAAGTGTATCATCGTACGACGCTACTCTTACTACTCTCGTATGACCTGCGAATGCGATAATACCTTTGATCGCAAACAACATTCCTGATAACCACGCTGCCAAGAACCACATATTGCATAGCTTGATAAATCATATATCCTCGAAGACTTCTCTCTAACGCATATGTGACGCCGTGAAAAAATAAGAATGAATTCGCGTGCAGGTTAATGAACGAAAATATCAGCATGTCCAAGTGGAAAGTAAGCATACGTGACGACAAATGGATTTCGAAGGCACGATACCGGCGGAAATTCATGGCTGGCAAGGGTAGCCCATAGAAAGGCGGCATCGCGGTAGTCATTCATTAAATTCATTCCCTCGTTATGGCATGTTCGATCTCGTGTACCTGCGGGCACTCGTGCGCCGATCAGTGATCGGCCCTTCTCACGCCCCGGTCGTTACGAAAGCGTCCAAGAGGATACAAAGATAACTTTTAAACCCACACTTTGTATCGAAAAATATTAAATACTCACGGTAACCGGCCATCAATTGCGTCATCATGTAGGTATACGTAACGAGGATGGGTAATTAAATAGAATTTTACGGTAATTTTGTGCAAGCAGTCCTCTAATAAATACATTAGCGAGACCTACGTGTCTACCTACGAGTGGAGTTGAACCTGCGTCCGCCTTTCCTCCTTTCAGGTGCCGAAAAGAACTCGTTTTTATCGTCGCGTTTTATGATGTGTTGGTTACATTCACGATGTGGTGGCTCTCAATCCGCTTAGAAATCGATACTTCGGCAATCTTTGTTTTAGTGCGATACGGAAAATGGTGCTAGAAAAGTCACGAAGTTCCAAAATGATCTTCGCCGTGATCTTTCACGCTTTGAAGTGCTTGAATATTCTCCATACATTTTTGCCGCGAGATATATAAATACGAAGAGAGATTGCGAGAGCAAGGAACGAACACGGGAAAGGTGGTAAAGCGAAACAAAAAGGGTAGAATGAAAGGAATTGTCGCTAACAACCACTGACGGCGGACAAATCTGTGGCGCGGGTCTTTTGTGCCTCGTAAAAGTCTCGTCGGCCACACTGGAGCACGAATAATCGTAAAACCGGGCTGGAAGCTGGCAGGAAGTAGGCTGGCAAGAATAGGTATGGTCTCCGCGCGGCGCTGCCGAGGACCCGTCAAAATCAATTAGCCTTTCAGTCTTTCTTCTAGCGCGGCATCACTACTGCACCGCTTATTAGAAGTTATAAAATTCTGGCGTGATAGCTTTGAGAGTCGATCGAACAGTTCGCGATATCAACACGTCCTATAAATATATCTCTTGAGTCGATCATTTCTAATGTTGTTGATAAATTCTAATTGCGAGCACCACTGTATTGATTGAACAGGTTCTTAGATTTCTGCTGATATAGAAATATTATGTTAAGTTAATTCTGATCTTTGTGATAATGTTTATGCGATCCGTCTTTTTTTATAAGTCTGTAGTCTGACTTTATAAGATATGTAAGAACAATCACGATCGCGTTCGAAAAATATATCATCGCGCAAAGGAACGACGGGAGTGGACATTAGAATACAGCAGTATACCATGATAGGAGATATGTGTCGTATGTATCGAGGCGAGTACATACACTGGCAGATTGTATATCCGGTCTGGGCTTTAGTATGCAGGCGGTGTGCCAGTGTGGCGTACAGGTACCTATCCGCGGTGGAGAGGGGGCAGCTTCCGATTCTGATTTATTGGAATCCTTCGCTTCCGATATTTTATCCGATTCCTTCACGTATTGGCGTCTGCACACGCGCGAAAACGTAGACTATCTATTCGCTATTTGCGAATTGCAGACGAATAAATTTGATTTATAAATTATTCAGATGGTATAAAGATGATGAGTTGTCATACGTCGTGAGAAAACAATAAAAATTTAAAGAATGTACGAACAGCAGAAAGATGTAACCGATAGATCGTACGATTGTACTCTAAAGATTTTCAATTATCCCGGAAACTTCTTGGAAGAATAGTTTTGTCAGTTGCAAAAGATCGCAAGGTTCGCCGCGGATGATTTCCTTCGCGTTCGCGCCATGCACGCGAAAGATACATTGGCCGTGAGACTTCCGCCGTTCTCAGTATCCTTGACTAATCTACTCCTTTCTCTCCCTGCCGGTAGACGGCCTACGCTGAACCGATAACGAGTGTCGGACGGTGAAGACACTGGACCATCAGACAGTGTGTCGCCGCAAGTTGATATCAGTGGAGGAAGGCGCCCCTGGAGGGCTCATAGCCTCGCCGCGAGCACGGTGAGCCGAACGGCGAGGAAAGAAACTTGATTCTTCCCTGTCATCATGTTCAACTATGACTTCACTCCTTTTCCATGCCACCTTTTATATGTCGCAAGTGGCGAGGTATTTACACGTGCGCGATTTATTGTCTTTCTTGTCAAGGGTAGAAGCGAGCTACGGCCGGTATGATATCGGATTATGCGCTGACTTAAAAAACATCGGTATCCGGTATCGCTGTGCGATGATGTAACGGGAACGCTTTTTAACCGCCTTCAGCCGGAGCCCTAGGGCGAAACGGACCCTATAATGCGAAGAGGCAGAAATACCCTTTCTCGATGCACGCGACGAATGCTAATTTACTCGGTCATATACTCGCTTCGCCTAGGTAAACACCGTTCACGAGAGTGGAGGACGGTCTTTGTCTGGTCTTAACTGATGTTGTTCAGCGATCAATCGTAAGTATTTATTTCTGAGTACCATTATTTGCCGAAACGCAATCGTTTAGAAATTAATCAATGGCGTTTTCTAATGTCTGGTATTTTAGAAGTCTAAATCTTTTTACATCAAAAATCTAAATTTTCTTATATATGTATAATTGAAAGGAAATAAAGTCAAGAAGTGCGTTTTAAGCGGATTACACATAAAATTTGTCAGGCAATATTTCTTGAAAAACAAATGAAATTTAGAATGCGAAACATCATCTCTGTTGCGGTTTTCGAGTCGATCTCTTTTTTGGATTGCTCCTAAAGAGAAACCTTGAGAAACCGCTCGGGTCTGGTGCGTGATTTATTGTCCTTGGTCAGAGATAATAAGGTACGATTGGTTGGGAAGATTCTTTTGAAACAAAAATTTCTCGCTGTCGTATGAATCTATCTGCCTTATAAAATCGATTAGTTCCAGAATTCAAGATTCAATCACAACTTTAAGATGCATAATAGTTGAATAGATAATTCAGAATAAAGAATAAATAATTATCCAACTATTAAGTAAAATGTAATATAAATAAAAATTTTTCAATTTAATGTAAATATTTAGAAAATTTGATACAAATTTATAATTTGAAAAGGGAGCTAGCTGAAATCAAATTCACATTTTCATTTTGCAAATTTAAAGTAAACTATAATGTTCATTATTATATACATATTACACTTTTGCAATAGGCAAAAATAAAATTCTTAATGAGACGTTTGCAATTAATATAAAGACGCGACACGATTTATAGGATTGGATCTTCTTCTAAGATCTATGATCGTAACTCATGGAACTGCGATCGAACGTTTGGATGACCGGAAATACTACCATAACCTCCTTCCGCTCGAAGTTCCTTCACTCTATCCGATCTCCTCTAAGAGGTCATATAAGTAATTATTAAAGAGTTGATATTTATAATTTTTCAATAAAATATCGTATCAATTTCGTATCAACGTGAATTGTATTAATACACGCGAAAAAAAGATACGCAGTCAAAACTCTCGATGAAGACGACAATGTATGACAAAGAGAGAAACATATGTACTTTATATTACTCACAAATTCATCTCTAAATAGTTGTGCATGCTTTAATGCTGTTCTCGCTTGGAGTACTATTTGGTTGAGGAGATCATGGTCCTCCAACTGAGCAATGTCCGGATTGGAGCCGTTTGTTCGTAATTTGGTAGAGACGCCACAAGGATTCACCCATTTCATATCATCCGTTTTGTTCGGGGAATTCATTATCGGAGCACTTCGCACTGTCAGCGTCGCTAGTATAATCACCAATGCACAGCCTAACCCTGGAAACAAAAATAGTCACTTTAGATTTCTTTAATGATCCATGTTATATACATTATAATTAAATTATCGATCACAGTATGGAATCCGTTTTTATTCTATGCTATTAAAGTACCACTTCAATAATTAGCTAATTAAATATTAAAATGTTTCTTTTCTTATTATTAAATGATGGCATAGTAAGTGTTTTTATCAAATAATCAAAATGATTCATATTTCAATTTTTTATTTTTCAATGACATTAGTCGCCATTTTAGTACATTGTATATACAATAATAAGTTCTATAAAGATTGCGGAAACAGTTACGTTAATATGGCTCCATCGAAGATCCGTAGCAGCGAGCGAGTGCCACGGGATTGGACCCTTTCCGCAATGAAGATTAACTTGTGTAGGGGCATCATTAACGGAATTGTCAGAATCTTAAAAAAGGAAAAATCGAAGATACTGCTCAATGATCTGGTGGTAATCACGATTTGACGTGAGAGCCGCGAGATGCCTGCGTGAAATTATCATTGAGCTTCCGGCTCATTGGCCCTCTGTTTCCACCCTCGGGGACTCACTCGTCGATAGTAAGCGCCTAAATGGTAGATTCCGATCGGGACCGTCTTATGATCATCCGGCAGTTTCAAGATCACCGCACATCGAATTACGTCCCCGCGAATTCGTCGTCGCATTATTACGCGAGTTACGACCCTTGATGAGGGGCCTCGGACGTGCAGCGGTACGACGACAAACCATCGACAGTTGCGTACGCATTTGAAGGATGTATAACGACGGGAGGCCACCGCATACGTGTTGTCCGCGTTTAATCCATATTCCCCTTCCCCTTCCTTCCTTCATCACCGTTTTGAACGTTTCAAAAATCAAGCGATGTATACATTAAATGGACACCGCTAAGTGCAATGTTGATTTGAAGTTAAATCAAGTTTCGTAAGATATACGGCATTCTACATTTATCAATAATTATAGATTTTATCAGTTGTCTATGCATACATTATTTCGGAACTTTTTTCTCTTCTCTGAAATCGTCTGTTATCTATTAATAAGAAAATTACGAAATCAAACATTGTTTTTTCTTTTATTGGTTGATTTTATCGTTATTATTTGATAATATTTATCGTGTTTTGAACATTTAATCAGGTGAAATTATCAGTAATATAGTGTTTCGCAATCAGTAACGACACTGTTTTAGAATATCAAGGAATTGAAATTTTACGTAACTTTAGCTCTTTGATTCATATCGTTAGTTCATCGGGACGAACAGGCGTGCGACCGAAAACCGGAGGTGTGTCGTACCATCCACAGGCGCTAACGAATTTAATTTTAATGTGCATGAGCGCATGATGCAGCCGACGGACGCGCCGTACAAACGAAGGGAGACAGAAATGCAGACGGAAAAAGAGCGAGATGTAGAGAAAACGAGGAGTGGGACGGGGCATAGGGAGACGCCTCGAACACTTAACGCATATTAATGAGCGGCTCTTAAGTGCGTTCTGCGTTGCGATGAGAGAGCAATTTGCCGCAGGGAAGTTTGCGCCCCAAAGTGACGACGCAAAACCGTGTCGGTCAACGGTGAACACATTGCCGTAATTTTTAACGTGAATTTGCTACGATGCGTTACTACTTTACAGAATCAATCGCAAAGACGTGATAAGCGTTTAATATGTGCTGGAATTTACATTTTAATGTAGCTAAGTCACACAACCATCTATACGGAAAGAACAGTTTTGCTGGAATATCGAAAAATTTAGTTTGATACAAGTCTGAACATTATTTTCAAATCAAACCTAGTTGTAGAATGTTACTTTTGCAGAATTGTCATCAACGCTTAAGTGTTCTACATAATTTTAGTGATCTAACAAAGCTATTTTTAGATCTGTATATCTGTAGTTAAATTTTTAGATATTTCGATAAAACCGTTCTTTTTGTGTATGATACATGGAATAAAAAATAAACGGGAAACTAAATCATTTGAATTTTTTTATACGTATTTTTTATATGATATTATTGTTGCAATGACGTATATTATAAAAGCATGTTGTATCGATTCCCTTTTTTTTTTCGTAAAAACTAGTTGTGTAATATACAACAATCAATAAAAGCATATTTTTACTTTATTTTACTTTATTTTCAACGTGAAAAGAAAAGAAGAGGAAATTTCGAAAGGGCGACAATCCTGGCGGAAAGCGTCCAATTAATGCTCGCTAATGATGTTAGGAGAGACACGTGTACTTGCAATATATTTTTCGCCATATACGAAAAAGAACGTATCTCGAGAAACAGTCGTTCGATTGCAAGTATTTTTATCGCTCTGCAAAGTTCGCAGTAATCCACGTAAATAATCTCGGCTATTCACGAACGTATCTCCTTACTTGTCGAAGACATCATTTACTTTCTCTTATTTCTTTAATTACTCCGTCTTCTTTTTTTCTCTTAGGCATTTAATTGCTATGCGATTAGAGTTCCACGATCGGTCAAATTTGTCAGCGGAGAAAGGGATACGATGATACAGGTATACTTTCAAACGAGTTCTTATTCTCGAACAGAAAGAAATTTAAAAGTCGGCTGCGATCTTGACGCTCAAAACTTACTCTCGCATTTACCTAATTCAGGAACTACGCGTCAGGATTTTAATTGTTTTTCGCAGAAATACGTCGATATGCCGTACGGCGGAAAACTATTGTTCTCAAACTATTTCTGATGAACATTACTTTTTTTTATGTATTGGTCAATCCATTATGTAACCAATATTCCCTTAAACTACACAATTCTCTAAAAAGAAAACGAATTATATTAAGAAAACGAAATATATTAAGTGTATACCCTCTTTGTCACAATTACTGCTATCGGTAAGAAAAGTTCATCTCTGTGAAACATTCGGTAGATGGGCTTTGATGGCCATTTTACCTTTCTTCATACTTTCCCCAGTGTCGTCTACATATCATTGATACTGCGAGGGCCTACCTCAACGACGACTCTCAACGACGACGTTCCATCGAAATTCCTAAGAACCCGCGGCCGCGTTGAAAAAAGTATGGCGCGCAGAGCCGGCGAACACCGGTGCAAAGCGCATCTCTGCTGTCGGCCAACAAGAAAGATGGTGAAAAATGCGGTAATGACGCACTGTCCTCGCATTGCTTGCGACAATTATACCCCATTACGCCCGACCCGCTACTCCCTTTTCTTCCGTTCGTGTCTACGGACCGAAGCACGTTGCGGTAGGTCGCAACCCGCGGTGCGCATATATGTTCGATAATTTATTATAAATTATTCTATCACATACACACACAATTTCTCATCGTCATACAAGAATATAATGAATACATCAAGTTCCCATTATTGTAAATATGAAGTTGTATCAATGTACCGACTTGTTCTGAGAAGTTTCGTTTTATTTAAGAATAAAAGCAACGAAACGCCGTGTGTTATGTCATTTAGAAATACAAAAATATGTGGACATGTAGCCGAAATTCCTGAAAGACGAACCTGTAGGTTCATCTTTTCACAGTTCGTAGAACTTCAGGATTTAAACCACCTGTAGGACCCTCGCTGTTCAACAGGTGGGCGGACGGAGGCAAATATACCGCACGTCCTGGCACGTGCCGTGTTTTGAATTCATTCTGAGAAATCCAGATCTCCTATTATGCACTCTTCTTCATTTTACTGAATTTGGAAGAAACTGATAAGACAGTACACGAACACGCGTATAGACTTAAGATTCGCAAACTTGTAAACGAAGAATCGATAAGGAGGACCGTTACAAGGTGGATGACTAATACTTCATCGGCATGCTCGAAAATGACGTCAAAGTCGCAAAAGAGAATGACATGAGCGACAGTGAACTAAATAAAAAAAGCGTAATGTCACGCTTATTATATTTTTTACCTTATCACGCGTCAGAAGGAAATATTTTGTTATTTATATAATATATTTCTAAAAAAAAATTCATATTAAAGCATCACTTAAAGTTAACTTTAAAAAAATTATTTAATTTAATTTTTGCGATATATTCTTTGTACAGTGATATTTGCAAGTCAGAAGTATTATTTATAACAGGTATTGTGCGATAGATTTTGATATTATTAAAAAATAATGAATAAATATTTATAAAAAAATAATTCCACAATGTTATATAAGAAAATTGCTAAACTTATAATTTTCATGAATTAATATAAAAAATTGGAAATTTTCATTAACACTTGAAGAAAATAAAACTACGTATACTTGTAGATCGATAAGTGTATTTAGACTCGTGTATTCTAATGATACTTATCACTAGACGAGCATCGTTCAATGATTAAGGTTTCGAGACACACGCGGGTTTTACCATCAGGTCATAATCCGCTTTGAGTGCAGATTTACGAGTCATACGAAAGTTTATCGATGTTAGTCAAGTAATAGGATTCTTGAGTTCTACTTTTGCATACGAATCGGTATTTCTCATTTCGAATTGTGACTAACGTACGGAAGTTCATAGAAAATTTGGCTGAATCCTAGAGGTACAACATTTATATTCGGTAGATATACTCGCGAAGTCAATCTATATATTTCCTTGTCAATGTTGCGAAAGGTTAATAAGGAGTGAGGGATATAAACAACTGGCTTGATGCAAATGTAGCAAATCCTGATATGATTTCTAAATCAATTCGGAGAAAGCCTTGCAACCGGAAAGAGGATGCAACTTTTATATTGACAACGACCACGCTGCAAAGATAGAACAGTACAATGCAACAACCGAAATATTATTAAAATTACGTAATGCATTTTGCTGCATTCACGACCTCGAATCAATCGACGTAGCATTTGCTGTATCAGAATACAATAAAGATATTTCTTTCGTATGACACTCCATGTTGCACCTGCTACAACTCATTTTACATTACATTAAAAAAGAAGTAATTCACTATACATAATCTCCAATTAATTGATAATTTTCCGGGTTAAAAATCTCAATTTGTCTTCTATTTAATTGTAATAAACGATTTTTTAATATTTACAATATTTACGTTTGTTCGTACATTTACAATTACCGTAGCTAGCATCTAGTGCTTGCTGTGTCATCACAAACAACAATTGTGTATGTATTATATGTGTATGTAATATATGTATATGTGATGGTAACTTTGACTTACTTAGAAATCTGAATACGCTGAAGGATGCGTTAGAATGTTGTGTTCTTCGGTCATGATAAAATGTTGGCATGAGATGCGAATCACTCTTTTTCTCTCGTTTAAGCGTTTTCGCTTTAATGCAATGACGTCTCGCGACGGTGCCCTGATATTTGGTTTGTTCCAACGATGAGATCGCCGACTTTGATATCGGCGCGTTGACTCGCATAACAGGACTCGTCTGGTCATGGACCCGGTGGGACGTAGTCCTCTGATCGCGGGTAAGTATGATTTCCATTGGCATCAATTGATTTTCTATCGTGTTCTTTACAATCATCGTGATCGCATAACACTATCTATCACGCGAACACTCGCGAACGCACAGCCTCAAGGCAGGAGTAATGCCGGTGTATCCTTCGCGGGTCTCCTCGCGTCAGCGATCAGTACGTATGTATGTAAGTAATAGATACACGTGCGTTATATACATCTACATGTGTATATAGACATGGATACCGCGGACGGTGCGCGTGTACTCCAACGTTCAGTCGCACGATACGCCACCGATTCTGATCACCTGAAGAGTTGTCACAATCGAAAAACAGTCTGCACAGATTCACAATCCGTTTGGCACTGGTCCCGGCACACGCGATGCACTGATTCTTATATGAGAGGGCAAAGGGATTATGGGATCCTGAGAGAGAGAAAGAGGGGAGGGGGGGGGGGGGTGGGTGCTTGATAAGGTAGCGGGGATACTCAAGAAGAAGAAAGAAAGAATCAAAGGGATATACTGTTAAGGGTAGTCCTTGTACGTTTTCTTCTAATTTTTAAGATTCTTCTTTTTTGCTTGTCCTTCACGATTACTTCCTCGCTGTCGATTGCCTGTTTCCTTCCTGTATCGATTTCGAAGCTCTTCACAGGGCTTTATTTCACTTTCTAATTGGAAAGGTAAGTTTGCTTTCAAAAGATGCTGCTCACTAACTGATCTGTCATATCCAAGGTACAAAGTAAGAGAGGACGCGGTCAATCCAACGAATAGGACATGAAGGCGAAGCAAATTGTTCGTTATAATAGAAGTGAACTTGTCTAAGGGAAGACGGTGATGGTTTATACGTTTGCCTTAGACGTACGTAAATCACTTCTCGCAGTCTTTATCTATTGTATTTTCTTTTATTCCTTTTCCTCCTTCTTTTTCTCTTTCTTTCTTCCTTTCTCCCTCTTCCTTCCTGTTCGAACTCAGTTCTTTCACTCTTTCTATCACCTCGTGCGCCCCCGATGTATGACTGTCAGTGTATGGTACTGGCCACTCCGTCGACCGGTGCCTATATACGATTGTAAAGTCACCGTAGCACGTGGCCCACACCCCGCTTTCCCCACCCCACATCCTCCCACCATTTTCGCCCTCCCTTGATCACCCGCGCCACCTCCTCCGTCATCCCTTCTCCTGCACGCTGCGCGGCTTTTACTCCCCACCATTAAGATCCGTGGTTCAGGACTCGCGACCAACTCATTCATAACTCCCCGCGATCACCTTGGTATCCACTCTTTCTGTCCCCACTATATGTGCGTAGTAGGCGATGTTAACGTCGTCTCACTGTCGATCTGCCGCACATTGTAGTTTTATCTCTCGAACCTTTCTGGTGATGATGATGATGATGATCTTAAGCATCACGAACGGATACTGAGATTTAGTGTACTTGGTAATTAATATTTGCAAAAATTGGCTTTGATTTAATATCGGGTGAGAAGAGGTGACAATTTTATTAATTTTTAATTAATTTTAATAACTCTATATTTTTAATTTTATAAATTATCATTCTTCTTCATCTTTATATTTTTGCTTGGTTTGCTCTATTTTATTGAATGTGCATAAGAAAAATTTTTAACATGGAATTTCTGTTTTTAATGATTTTATTAAAAAAGTATATTTTATTTTGCTGTACCCCATGAATCAAATACAAACGTATTTTTTTGTTTAAAGATAATTATACAGATAATTATAAAGATAATTATACGTAACAATATTGAAATAAACAAAACTATTCTTCGTATTTTTGCAAAAAGTCTTATTATTGTTGAAAAAAAGTAATTAATGCAAAAGATAAAACTAAATAAAATAAACAATACAAATAATATTCGCAAAATTCTACAAAAGTATGAATACTTGTTACTCAATCGCAAGGCTTTACTCGCTCGTTCATAGTCACCACGTGGTCCGCACGTTAGCAATGACCGAAAGGGAATGAGTTCTTAGCACATGAGAGTATCAGCCATGTTTGTCGACCATTTTCCCGCGCTATTTCATTAACATTAAATTTTTTGTTAAACTATTAAATTCGATTGGTTAAAATTAGCAGAGACATAAATTGTGTAAAATTATTTTTTTCAACAATTTTAATTTCGAAAAATATAAAGAATTTAGATAAATAGTTGAATAAATATCTTGACATTTTTTTCCATCTATATTATATATCTTCATAATTTATATGTAATAAATAATTTGTCTTGTCAAAATACTTTCCCTAATCAAAAACTAATATATTTTAGTATAATATTTGTTAAAATTACTTTTTAACAGTATATGCAATTTTCAATATAATGATAAAATAAAAATAGAAATAAAATTAAAATATTCAATTTTTATATAGAAATTGTAATTATGCGAAAAGTATCCTCACTGGCACGTGAATGCTTTTTCAGTCTTCATATCGTAGAAATGTACGTAGTTGATTCATGTTTTTCATAAAAATCCGAACTATATTGTTACAGATAAAATTCTGTCGATAAAGGTAATTATAACATAGGAACATTCCGCCTGTAGAGATGAATGTGTGCGTCAATAGCGTGGCCGTACGCGCGATTCCGCTAATTGCCGACGAAGGAGTGACACCATTCGTTATTCCTGGTTGAGAATCTCGTACGTCCGTAACATCTTCGTTATCATTGTGAAAAGTTCATGGCATTAATGAACAATGTTAATAATGGTAGGTCGCGATTCTTCGTCATGGCAACGTCAGTTTGTCCATATACATTTTCGTAGACACAACAATGATACTGGTAGTATTGACGATGACGTTAATGATAATTATTATGACGTTTTCCATACAACAGTGTTGTTACCAGATCTTGACATATCAGAATTAAAAAACTCGTCATAATCGAAACTTGTTACAGATACACACAAGATATTTTTTTATATAAGTATACTTATATTTTTTATCTTATTTAACAAAACAGGATTTTATATAACTGTAATATAACTATATAATATCGTTTAAAATTATGATTTATGAATTTTAAATGATTTTAATTTTTTTTCTTCCACGTTATATGATCAATTAATCATCGAATTAATTTTCAAAATTCATTAATTAAACTACATTTGATGGATAAAATGTTTTTGCAGAACGGAAAGATTTTCACCTGATCCAAGTTCCCCTCTTGCGCTTCTTCGAATTTTCTCACCATGGCGCATACACTCCCCACTCAAAACTGCGTTCATATCCTCTTTTACCTCCCACTTAAAGTCAATGATGACGTCTCCTTTCACTAGCTCTTGAACGCTTACGTATATTCATATCTTCGTATTACTGAAGTTGGAAGTACACACGCCTATGACAAATCGGTCGTACTTCCGAAAAGATTTTCTCAGAACGAAGGTCAGATCCTCGGGACAAGATAGGATTCCGACTGACAAATATTTTCGAGGAATCTATTCCAATTTTCGTCCGGATGCGGTTAATTATAGTTAAACGAAAAAATTCCGGGGAGATTTTTAATTAATTATTATGATAGAGTTAATTGTACAATATGCGCGCTTGACGTTGCATAATCTAATACATTAATTATAATAATTGTACGATACTTCAAGACAGTGATATTTGTTTCTATATCTAATTAATTATTAAATAATCAATAAGACAAAGTGGCATATCAGTCAAATGCATTAATGTGAAAATTTGTTGATATGAAACAGTTTTGTAAAGAAAGTTGTAAAGAAGTTTTAGTACATATACATCATGTATAATATATTATCCGACTTGCATCAGTCATTCGAAAAAGCGAAGGAGAAATCAAGTGAGGTTTCGTATATTTGAAGTCTTCGATTGCATCATATAACGTAATCAATGAATCAGTATAACGGAGTCTTCACCTTTTTCAAAATTGTACTGGATTTCAACTGATTAACCTTATTTAATCGAATCTTTTATATCCTCCAGTTTTGATATTATTCGGGACTATTTTTATATTACTTTATTAAAAACTCCATATTTATTCAGATTTAACTTGCAAGAATATTAAAATAGTGGATTAAAAGAAATGTTTTGATAAATCGAAAACAAAAAATTACATAAAAAGTTTTGAAATTGTATCTTACAAGTCATTAATCTCGAACAATTCTTTTATTTAGGATTTATGTATATTTTGAGACATGTGTATATGGTCTTTTATTGCCTTAATATTCAAGTTTTCAATAAATATTATAATATTGATATGCCTAAGAATTCTTATTTTCCTCGATGATTTTTTATGCTTTTTTAAAGTGAAAATAAAAAGTAGCGTTTTTTCTAATCTTATTATTTATGAACATATTAATGTGAAAATGTTCATGCGATCTCTAACAAACTGTTGTTATTTGTCGCTATTTGTCGTTATTACATTAAAATAACAACAAATAATGGTAGCTGTTTGCAGGATCATGATCCGAGAAAATGCAACTTCCACTGTTTAATCAATGGAAAACGACAGTATCGATACTAACTATTGCTTACATAGACAGAATTGGTAAAAATCATGAGCCATTATTGATAAAACAACGTGCTACAAGGCACGAAGGCGTCGATACCGAAAGAGTCATCAATAAACGACCTAGATTAACAAGGCGATGTATACCATTATAGATGAATTAAATCGATGAGAAGAGAATATAGAATTTATTGAGATTTAATATGCACGCGCGCGATGAATACTTAATATTTAGACATCACTTCAGTTGCAAGAAGGTAAGGTTCTTATATTTTATATATTTTTTAAATTACTTATACTAATATTGATTGAGTTATATCAACCTATATATATATATAAAACTCAACCTAATAATGAAAATCAATATAATAATGAAATAGCTGATGTAAAACAGTAATATAAAAATGCATTATTATCCTTATTATTAAGATTTGAAATAATTTTATTTAATTGTAATATATATTTATATATGTATATTAACATAAAAAATTTAAATTAAATTATATATATATATGTATATATATATACATATATATATTCTGTAGAAAATATTTAAATAAACTACACGAATATTTTTAGAAAATGTATTTCTTGACAATTTTTTTTTTCATATGTTTTTGCATAGTTTATATTGAGAGTTGACGAGTGAACTAAATTGAATGCGCAAGATTGCACATCATATTGCGCACTTAATTAGTGAAGAAACGTATACGAATG